GCACTTCATAGGACCAGCAGACAGGATTCTATGAATATTTTCTACTTATTAGGTGTAGTTAGACCAGGTCTCTTAAACAATGAACTTTTCTTTCCAGCTAGCTTATGAGGTAAGATAAGAATAGATCATATGAACTGATCATATGTACTTTACCATGACCATCTATTATTGAATAATAAACTAATATTTTTAATCATATCTCACTTGATTAAAATTAATATAGATTAATAATAAATCCTAATAGGGCCTCCCTGGTGGCACATCGGTTGAGCGCTGGGTTGCGAAGCTGCCTGCAGCCTCTGTAGCACCGGTTTGATCCCCGGCTGCTCCTTGGCCACCGGAGGAGGGTCCCATGTGGCCTGCGGACCACTCCTGCTGCGCCCGCTGCTCCCCTCAGCAGTGCACTTCGGTCCTTCTGCCTGCTCTGCTCCCCGCTCTGGTGAGTTCTCTCACCCTCCCGCGCTTCTGACTGTACCCAGTGCTTGTATAAATAAATAGATAAATCTTTAAAAAAAAAAAACAATTGTTTAAAAATAATAATAATAATAATAAATCCTAATGAATAAATAAGCCTATCTCATACACACACGGAAAAAGATAATCTGGAGGTTAGTTATGAGTGTCTTTTCATATCCCAAAGTGAATTTTCCATATGACCTTTGTATCCCTAAGGGAAATTTCTGGTTTTTCTTCACAAGTCAAAATTCTTTTTATCTACCTTTGCCTCTCTTCATTTCCCAGTAGACTATCAGGAAAGCTCATCTGAATTCAAGCTGATTGCTTTAATTCTCAAGTTGAAAAGTCACATGAGAAAATCCCTGAGGTCTTTTTTAAAAGTTCAAGCTTCTTAGCAAATGAGTCTAGAATCCTGATTCATGCTATAATTGCCAAGAATATAGATTATTGAGCAAGTCCCCTGAGCTCCTTAGTTCAACCTAAACCAACTGCCCTTCTGATTGGCTGGCCATCAGAGTCCTTTGTTCAAAAATTTATCAGCAAAATATTTAGGGTTATAAAGGATTTGTGTAAACCAATGACGTATATCAGTTTTTTGACTCAGATCAAACTTGACACAATATGAGAGAAATTAATATAGCAGTGACCTGTCCAGAATTTGACATTTTCAAGGTGTTTCTTATGCCTTTTCTTCAAAACCAGAAGGGGTAAGAGTACAGTAAGATTCTGAGCACTTTCTCTGCAAGTGAAATACTTTTTAGAGCCTGGGCTAATGTGTTCTTTTTTTTTTATTTTTATTCTCTCTTTCTCATCCTCCTAGAAAGAAAATTATATCTATTCCTATAATTGAGAAGTTATGGTACATATTCTTAAATGACTATTACCTGATCCGCGATCTCTTCACCTGTCAACTCAAAATTCCAGAATACAGTCTCTGACAGGAGAAGTCAAAAGTATGATAAGACTCTACTGAATCCTCCAATGTTTTTGTCCCCTCCTAATTTATTCCTTGAGGAGCTTTTGTTTGTTTGTTTGTTTGTTTGTTTGTTTGTTTGTTTGTTTGTTTGTTTCGCTCCTTTCCTCTCTTCTTGCTTTCTAAGAGACTTGACATCTCTTTGAAGCTTTTCATCTCCTTATTGTTCTCAGGCCAGATAGTCTCCAGGCGAGGAGACAGTTCTTCTGCAATACAGCCTTATATTATCCCTTTGCTAATACGCTCTATTGTGCTCCACTGACACACCACTTACCACTTTCCTATTTCCTTTTTTCCTGTGATGCATTCACAATTACAAGAAACTAGAAACCCTGTTTCCAGTTCTTTATGAAGAAGCTAATTCAATCCTCCCCAATATAAGATATATATTATTTCCCCCAAATTTACTCAATTTAGAGGTGAAGAAATTATAATTTAAAAGATTAAACAATATTACAAAAGAGAGACTGATAGTAAGTGAAATAATTGGATTACAAAGCGCATACATCTGTTTCTAAATTGCAACATTCTGCTCTATCTATTGAGTTTCAGGCATAAAGTCTGTATTTTATCTTGGAGAAGCTGAGTCCATCCTTTGAGAGCAGCACAGTCAGGAATATGTCAGGACATTAGGAGATTTCCACTTCTCATGTTTTAAATTGCCTCCTCATCAACTACAATTTTATGACCTTCAAAATGTTGTTTTACCTGTCATTAAAATTATCTTGAAGTGGTCTAATCCCAAGATAGATGGTCAAGATCCAAGCAATATCTGGGCAAAATTTATTACATAATGTCTGTCTCCAATACCCCATTGCTCTGGTTTTAGTTTTTTCATACCAGGTGCCTCCAAGGCTTCAAGGTCCTTTGTGATCATATTTGTCTTCCAAAAATCAATAAAATACTGGATCACATGCTCTTCCTGCTTCCCACTAATTCAAACATATATTAATGTTTTCTGCTAATGCTTTCTGATCAACATTATGAAATAAATTCATATTTCATTCTACAGTGAACAGTCCTTAGCTGCTTTTCCTTTGGATGAAATCCAATTAATTCTCATCTAATAATATTGATATATGACCGCAAAACTACTGTGTTATACTTTCCAAAGTTTTTGACATTTTATGTTTAGAAACAGCAGAAGAAAGAAATCACTAATGGTGACATTTTATTCATCACCCACAGTCAAATGATTTATTTTAATTATTTTACTTATTTAGATATTTTGAGGGAATCCTGACATTTTACCAACAACTAAAGAAAAATGAATTCTATTTCTGTGTAACAATCCCCTGGATGGTAACTTTTGTTCCTGTCACTGTATTTTTGAGTGCAAATATATTATGCAAGTTTATCCCATCTTTCACTTTGTTGCAATTATCTTTTGTATTTAAAAAGTGCTTTTGTTTGTACTGCCCTGAAATCATGTTACAGAGACATAGCAATTTCTTCCTTCCACACCCTGAGTTCCACTCTCTAACAGCTGCTTCACCCAAATCTCTGGATTTTGTGGAAATCTGCCCACCGGAAACCTGAGTGGACACTGATCAGATCTAAACTAATGAGTGAAATATGAAATACTTAACCATTATTTTCATAATGCATTACTCAGGTAACTGGACATAAATAAGCACATACTGAAATAATAATATATAGAGTCATCTTTTCTTGCCAGCATACATTTAACTATAAATAATACTCTTCAGTTGACTTCTTCCCAATTCTGCTCTACTACAGGGTTCTCAAAAATAACAAGTTGAATAATTTTTCCTGGATATGAGTATTTTGTCACTGGATCTCAAAGAATTGTTGCCACCACCTTGTGCTACTGGTTATTCAGACAGGTAATTGAACTCAGTCAGTTGGTATTTGGATAATAGGCAAGGGAAAATATACCCCCTAATTCCCTTTGATCAACTGAACATAGTTGTCCTGAGTCAGAAGGAAAAACCAGGATGGGTCATACTTGGACGGCATCTTAGAATAATGATCTTGAGTCTGAGTTTACATATCAAGGGTATCAGGACAAAGCAGGAGGAGATGGGCAAATTTCAGAGTGTGAAACTGTGGACTCAGGCACCAGGTAAATTGCCAAAACTGGTTGAGATATTGATAGGGCTGCCTGGTCATAAAACTATTAGAAGAGTTTTAGCAGGGTATGGACTATATGACCAGATATCATCTGTTTCCAACTTTTCAGATCAAATGCAGGTAGTTACTTCTCATAACCGCACACTTAGTGTTATCACTCACCTAATTACCCTGAACTAAATTTTTTTTCTTTAAATTTTATTTAAATTTAAAAAACTAGTCTCCATTGAAGAAAATGGAGTAAAATGTTTAAAAATATAAAAAAAACTTAACCATGCTAATTTAGTTCCCAAGACTTTGACTTCTTCCATGGCAGAGACTGGGTCTTCCAGCTCAGTAGTCACCCACTCCCACAATAACAACCATCATTTTATCACCATCAACACTTACAATACCTGCAAAATTTGAAATTCTAGCATTCTTCCGGCTAACCACGATCTACAAAACTTACAACTTCCTTTCCCTAATATCCCTACAGAAGCCACAATCATCTGCATGTTTCCCATGTAATTCCTTGCCCAGCCTTGTTTCTGTAATTCATTCACTTTGTGAGCATGCTTTACTTCATTGACTCTTTTTCCTTTGTTACTGCATGTTTACTGGAGGGGGGAGGGGAAATGTTTAAAATCAGATATCTGTTTCACACATTTGCTTCATCAGCTAAATTCTACTAGAGATAATTGTATATCATATCTCAAATGGGCAAACATATCACCAGTTGATCCTACTGTATTTCCTCAGTAAATTAGTCCTTCACTTGTGGTGCCTAAGTTTTGTGTTCTTAGATCATCAAAATCCCTCACCACCATCTCACTGAAAATACACACTATACACACAAAGAAAGATAGCTATATAGAGAGATAAACAGAAAGGCTGATTGGTTGATAAATAAGGACTCTGTTCATGATGTCACTTCACATTTCACCAATATGTTGTAGCAATTAGTTGTAAAGTCTCTTAATCGACTATAAAATCTATGAATCTGCTTAGCTGCCTCCGGTCTCCACTTTCTTTACTTTCCGTGCTTACAATAGATAAATGTCCCCTCCTTCCACCTATGAAAAATATTCAACTTGTGCTATGGATCTCATTCATTTTTCCTTCATCAAGGATTTCACTTGTGCTCTTAACTTCTAACTCTATTGCATTAACAAATTATCTCTCTATTCCCAATGAGTATATAAAATGTTCTTATATTTATATGATCTTAGGCCCCTGTAGGGCATAAGATAATGAATCACAGAATTACATAGGGAATGATATGTAATGCCATGTAGTGGACTGTCATACAAGAATATTAAAATTATCATCATGATGAATAAGAAGTTAGATTAAAAATAGATAAATATAGTTTTCAGTATAGTCATGACATGTTGTATAGGAGAAAGAGGCTAAGGCTCTAGAGTAACTGGAAGTCACAAAGAGAGTTTTGATATCTCTTCTGTCTTGGGTTCCCAGGGTAAATCTCTTTATCACTATGGGAAACCACAGCATGTTCAGTGAGTTCATCCTCCTTGGGCTGTCTGCTGACCCTCAGGCCCAAATTCTTCTCTTCATGTTGTTTCTGGTGATTTACCTTCTGACCTTGATGGGAAACCTGGTGATGCTGCTGGTGATCAGATCTGATTCCCATCTTCACACACCCATGTACTTCTTTTTGGGACAACTATCTTTCCTGGACCTCTGCCACTCGTCTGTCACGGTACCTAAGATGCTGGAGAATCTACTCTCTAAAAGCAAAACCATCTTAGTAGAGAGCTGCCTGGCTCAAGCCTTCTTTGTGTTTGCCACGGGGGGCACTGAAGCTTGTCTGCTAGCTGTGATGGCCTATGACCGCTACGTAGCCATCAGCTCCCCTCTGCTCTATAGCCAGGTGATAAGCAATCAGCTCTGTGTCAGGCTGGTATGGGGCTCTTGGTTCCTTGCTTTTGTTGATGCTCTCATCAATATACTCCTGGCTGTCAACTTAGATTACTGTGAAGACCAAATTATTCCCCACTTCAGCTGTGAACTGTCTTCTCTCTTCCCTCTGTCTTGCTCTGACACCTCCATCAACTTCATATTCCTCCTATGCTCCTCTGTCTTGCATTTCTTTGGAACTTTCATCTTGATCGTCTTCTCTTATATCCGCATTGTCTCCACCATTATGAGTATCAGCTCCACTTCTGGCAGAAGCAAGGCTTTCTCCACCTGCTCCTCCCACCTCACTACTGTGATCCTGTTCTATGGCTCTGGCTTCCTCAGCTATCTCTTGCCAATCTCAGGCTCCTCCCTAGAAGTTATCTTCCCCTTGCAGTACACTGTGGTCACTCCCATGCTCAATCCTCTCATCTACAGTCTGCAGAACAAGGAGGTGAAGACAGCCATGAGAAGAATCTTAAGAAGATACATTAACTCTTTTGTGTAGTGAACAGAACAGAGAAACAGGACCAGAAAAAGCTAAGCTTCTCAGAACAAGATATGTGGTAACTGGAAATTAATCGTAATTTTTTTTTTACTGTCATGACAGCTATTAAAAGATATGTATGTGCCAGCATCTTAATACATGATTCAGAAGAACACTAAGCTCTAGTTTTAGGGTGATTAATGGTCAGCCCCATTCAAAGGAAGGGATGTGGGTCAGATAATTTCTCCAAGGAAAATTGTGTGTGTGTGTGTGTGTGCCTCTGTTATTTTTCCTACCCAGTATATTTTGACCCTTCCTTTAGTAACTGCTCTCTCTTGCTTACAGAGAGCAACACTTCTCCATTATAGCTAGCCCGTGGGACTCCCCTGCAGTAGCTTCTGAGTCTGCTCACCACAGGGTGGTCTTGTAACTGAGAAAAGGTCACCCATTTTACTCCTATCTCCTAATAAGAAACTATACAGGTCTCCCTACTACTGCGATCTCCTGAGATACCCTGTCCAATGTGTTTCCTCACATGAGGTTTTTCTACAGACAAATTAACAATAACAAATTTAAGTGTTTTCACATATAAACTCCTTATCTCAACAGCTTTGTGGGCACTAAGGAATATTAATAATTCTTTTTTTATAATGTATAGCCAAGAACCAGAAAAGTTGCCTGAAAATATAAGGAATAGGAATTTCAAACAGGTTGAACACAGTCCAGAATCTGTTCACAAAAACCTTCCTGGAGTCTGGTGTCCTCTATAAAACATCACTTTGTTTAACTAATAAGAACTAAATTCAAAATATCTTGACTGAGCTAAAGAATCCAAACTGGCCCTGGAATTGGCATTTAAAAGTGAACTATAGCCTTCACTTATTCCTGGTAAGATGTGTGAATTTTTTATTTAATATACCAGGGGGCACAAAAGACAGCAAATATTCTAGTCATACTATGTGGTAGAAATAGAGTGCACTATGGCATTCAGTGGCAAATTTATACTATACCACCTGTGAACACCAAAATTCATGCATCCACCAAGAATAAAGCTATAGTTATTGAGAAACTGCTGCTGTCATTCATATGGTGGGGGTGAAAATATTAATATCCAAGGATAATTTCAAGCAAGACAAGTTCAAATCTGAAATTTCGAACCTTATTGCTTGTGGCCCAGAGATGACCTTAAGCCAAACTCAGATTTTATGGCTTGCTGAATTATAGCTCTATTCAAATTGAGTTATCATATTGGACTGCATATATGAAATTAGGGAATTGATGAAGAGTTGACCTGTGATACCAAGGAAGATTGAATGATTCAGAAAGTCACCAAATCCTCCAAATCTTCAAACCATTCAAAAGTACCCCACTATGCTTTCTTCACCCAAGCTTCTACTTGTTGGAAAATGCACATGATTTTTCTCATGCCCATCTCTAACTGTTAGTTTCCAGGATTCAAATTAACATGAGCTGGGGGTAAAATGAAGAAGCAGAAAATAGATGTGCATTAAAATCAACAGTAGTCCATTAGTTTCTATTTTAAAACTCTGAAAATAATTTGTGAAAAATAATTTTAAGTATGCTCACCAAAGAGTGTGTACTTAATATTTCAAAATTAACTTTAAACCCTTATATATATAAAAACATGTATGATTTTATGAAAATGCATAAATGAGATCATTTCATGTATGATGCTTCATGGTGCTCCAGCCTTATTTCTTTTTCTTTTTTATTTCTCCCTCCTTTCCCCTATTTCTATTCTTGTTCCAACCACATCACCTCCCTATCCAGAAGCCCAAGTTAACAGAATATATTTCCTTTCATAACTTTCTCTATGCTCATATAATCACATGTATACTTACAAATATATATACAAACATGCAGGTTCATTTTTACATATACACGGCTGTTGTCTTTTTAAAATTTCTTTTAAATATGACAGCTTCTCTAACACTACAAGACTACAGGCATATTAATCTAGGTCAAATATTTCAGTTCCAAATTATTCTTTCAAATGTAGCCTAATATCCCATTGAAATAATGTGCCATAATTTATACAACTATCTTTTTATGGGTATTTCCTTTACTTCTAAATGTTTGACATAATGAACAATAAATACACAAATGCTAATCCTTAACAATAAATACACAGATGTTAACCCTTAAGTTTGGATGTTTTTATTTATATAGGGGTGAGTGTCAGAATGGGACTTCAAAATCAAAATGGATATAAATCTTAATTTGAATATATGATACTAAATTGCTTTGGAATATGGAAAGCTCACATAGTCTAAGTAATGAGTAAGTATAGTTTCTCCATATGCACTATATACAGACACTTTCAATGTTTTTCCTTCTGATCAGTAATGTAGTAGTCTCTTCATTTTTCTATATTCTTCATACCACCAGTGAGTGTTACTATCTTTCTACATATTAAGCATTTGGATTTGCCTCCCATCAGTGGCTTATTCATATTGTTTGTCTATATCATTTTTTGTCTTTCCTTTTACATTACTAAGACTTAAAAATGTCTTTATTATATTTTTTAAAGATTTATTTATTTATGCAAGCACTGGGTCCAGTCAGAAGTGCAGGAGGGTGAGAGAATTCACCAGAGCCGGAGTGGGGAGCAGAACAGGCAGAGGACCAAAGCACACTGCTGAGGAGAGCAGCGGGTGGCAGGAGAGGTCTGTGCACCATGTGGGACCCTCTCCTGTGGCCAGGGATGGAACCGGCGCTGCAGAGGCTGCGGGCAACTTCACAGCCCAGCGCTCAAACGCTGGGCCACCAGGGGAGGCCCTATTATATTATTTTTTATTGAGCAAACATTGGAATAAAACTTAAAAAGGTACACTATCTTTCACACCTCTTCAGATGTATGAACTATGCACACCACACCCAAAGCCCCCATAAGCCCACTGTGGCCCCTCCTCCCTTATCCTCTATGGTCACGCTCCCCTCCTGTTAGCCTGAATCATACAGTAATATTTGTAGGATTGTTTGCTTCAGTTTTGGCTGTTCCCATGTTTTGTTTCTCTGTCTTCCATATTTGAGTAAAATCACCTGATATTCTTCTTTCTCCTCTTCACTTAACCCCTTCCAGTTCTATCCACATTGTTGCAAATGAAAACATTTCATTTTTATATAGCATTTGTAAAAACTTGCACATAATCAATAATGTCACTTGTAATCTATGTTCAAATATATGTTCTATTGTCCATTTATTTTGTTATATAAAAGTTTAAACATTTATGGTTAAATATATCATCATTTGTTCTGAGAGTGTGTAGATTTCTTTTTATAATTAAGAAATCCCCTAATTAGAGGAAAGAGCACAAAGAACCATGGTGGGAAATTTATGGAGACTACACACTAATGAGCTAATGTTTGCATGGTATGTCATGCTTCATTGTTAAGTTTTAATCTATTTGTGGTTTGTGTGTGTGAAGTAACACTGATTTACAGCATTTTATAGGTTTTTGAGAAGGGAAACAAATGCAAAACGAATGGATTGCATCAAATGAAATGGTTTCACAAAAGAAATTACAATTAAAACAAAACCCTATACCCTACTGAATAGGAGAGATATTTGAACATCATACATCTAACAAAGGGCCAAAATCCAAGATTTCCAAAAACCTTGCACAACTCAAATAAAGGAAATAAAAAACCCACCAAAAAAATGGGCAGAAAGTCTAAATAGACACTTCTCCAAAGAGATCATGAAGATGACCAAAACAGGTTCAGGAAAAATGTTCATCATCACTTGTCATCCAAGAAATGTAAATAAAAACCAAAAACATTTAAAGAAGTAACATTTCCCCCAAATAGAAGAGGATGAAATATTCCCAAACTTATTTTATGAGGTCAACATTGCCCCAATACCACAGGCAAAATAAAGACACGACAATGAAGGTATTATATAGGTAAATAATCCTTTTAAATATAAATATAAACATTATCAACAAAATAATGGAAAACTGAATGCAAAAATTAAAAAGATCAGACAATATGATCAAGTGAGGTTTAACCCTGTTATGCAAGAATGGTTCAACATACACAAATCAATAAATGTGATGCCCATATTAATTGAATAAAAGATAAAAATTATATGATCACCTCAATAAATGCAAAAAAATCATAAAACAAATTCAATATCCTTTCATGAAAAATTCTGAACAAAGGGCCTCCCTTTGGAGGGGTTAAGCACCGCACTATGAAGCAATCCACAGGCTCTGCAGCATAAGTTTGACCTCCGGCCAGCCAGAGAGAACACACATGGCGCAGCAGACCTCTCCTGCCTCACCTGCTGCTCCCCTCAGCCGTGTATTTCAGTCAGTCTGCCTGTTCTGTTCCCCACTCTGTCTCTAGTGAGTCCTCCCACCCCCTCATCTCTGGTCTGTATCCCAGCTCTTGTATGCATAAATAAAAAAATCTTTAAAAAATATTCTCAACAAAAAGAAATATACCTCAACATAACAAAATATATATTAGAAAAACACTAACAGAATATTCAACAGTGAAAGATTCTCCTGCCACCTCATCACACGTGAACTATCACACTGCCAGATTTCAAACAAAACTACAAATCTCTGATAATTTTAAAAGACTAAAAAATGAGCGCATAGATCAAAGGAACGGAATTTACCCAAAATCATTCCCACATGTACAATCAACTAATATTGACATGTGGGTCAAGCATACTCAATGGGGAAATTATAATCTCTTCAACAAATGATATGAGTAAAACTGATTAACCACATGCAGAAAATAAAACTGAACCACCAATCTTATGCCATTCACAAAAATTAACTCATATTGGATTAAAGACTTACACTAGACCTGAAATTTTTATAGTCCTAAAAGAAATCAAAGGAAAAATCTTTTTGCCATTGGTCTTGGCAACCATTTTCTGGAAATGACATCAAAAGCAGAAGCAACAAAAGCAAATATCAACAACTTTCAAAATAAAAACCTTCTGCAAAGCAAATGAAAAAATCAGCAAAATGAATGACAATCTA